GCTAGAACTCGGTTCATTTCTAATGAGAAAATTCGCTCATTCTTGACGCCAACTGAACGTATTTTTAAATAACTCCTATATGCAATCGTTTGTATTTCGTATGTAGACGTTTGTAGTGCAATTAAAAAGATTTGTGAGTCATTCGTTTGTTTGTAATTAATTAATTATTTTTCCACCGTATAAAATGGAAAATACAAACGATTGCATATAGGAGTTATTTAAAAATACGTTCAGTCGGCGTCAAGTATAAGCGAATCTAACCTTGTGCTATGATTGGTCAAATCTGAAATTTCACTAAATAAAATTTCAATGTGATGCTATGAAATTTCAGATTTGACTAATCATAGCACAAGATCATTTTAATCTGAATCACTTTGATTTTCTCGCGAAAGCAGTCCTTAAAGCCCGTATCAGACTACGGATTGAGATTGGGATTAGATTGAAATTTGACCAACCAGAGTAAAGCCCGTATCAGACTACGGATTGGGATTGGGATTAGATTGAAATCTGACCAATCGCAGTAAAGTTTACTGATCCCAAGTTTAGTAACTTTTACTCCAATTGGTCAAATTTCAATCCAATCTCAATCTCAATCCGTAGTCTGATACGGGCTTAAAAGTTACTGAACTTGAGATTAGTAAACTTTACTGTGATTGGTTAAATTTCAATCTAATCCCAATCCCAATCCGTAGTCTGATACGGGCTTTACGTCACTCTACGGTTGAGATTTGACTAATCAGAATAAAGTTCACTAAATTTGAGATTAATGATATCTCCCTGCTGATATCGACGAAATACTTGAGACCGCACTCAATCTTTTCTCTCCTCGTCTTTGCCAACATTTAAACGTATATTTATACTTCACTCTAGGATTACGAGGAAAGTCTTCCTCAGAGAAAATCTTTTGGAATGTAAATTATAAAATGGTGTAGTATGATAAAATTAATCTGCACCGATGAAAATGGACCTGAATCCGCAAGTATCTACATGCGAGGCGGCCTTTACGGTGCAGCTCCGAGTGCGGACCAGTGCAGACAACCGAGTGTAGTACACACGGCGTTGGTTATCGACGAACAGCTCGGATGACAAAATACGAAATTATCTTAAAATGACTCATCGAGTCCGCGAGGCGTCGGCCAGACGTTAAATATGACCTAGTAGTCTCGCATTACATTCTATCGTCTACTCGCTGTCGCCGGACAATCTCCAGTCCTCGTGAATTTTCTCGCAAACCGTGGAGAGAATCGGGGCCAGTGATCATGGCGTGTTGTCGTGCGAGATCGCGACGGTAAAGAGCGAACAGACGGGACGGTATGGACGATAAGCGGCGCAGTCCTCGCGACAGACAGGCCTAATCCCCTTTCAATCCTTCAGGATCCACCTGGCTCCGCCCTCCTCCTCTTCCTCCTCCTCCTCTCCGGAGTAAACCATCTGGCGTTCGCGTGCGAACTTCAAAGGCTCGAAACCGACAGCTCGCGTGTCAATGGCACGCGCAGCGGGACGGAAAGGGGTTTCTTTCTGAAAGGTAGTAGTAACATGCTCACGTAGGACAGGGAGGGGCCTTAATTATACTAATTTATTAATTCTCGAGAGCGATTAAACGTTTCTACCCGGTTCGTTCCCTCCTTTTCTTCTTTCAGCTTCCAGCATTTGTGGATGTCTTGGAAACTCGTTATTTTAAACTTCTCTTTAACTGACTCAAACAGCTCCTCGCTCTGTGACTTTCTCTGCGAAAACGAGCTTTTCCGAGCTTTTTAACCGCTTGTTTTCATCTCGAACCTGGGTTTTGTGTCTGCATCTGGTTGAGGGATTCCAGCCTATTGTGTGTGAATGATTTCGTGTATCGTTTACCGACATCCGTCGCTTTGCCGACACAATGGTCGCCCCGGTTTTGTGAGATGCTAAGTGTGTGCTTTTTAATCATATCTTCTGCAGTCAAGAGCCAAATTTTGAATGGAAAAAGAATGAAGGAATCAAGCGCGGGAGGTGCGATTGAGAATGTAGAGTGTAATATTAAACGCAGCCGACGAGAAAGAGAGGGAGAGAAATACTTGGTGTGACTAACAATATAATTATGTATACACAGATCGCGTATAGATGAATCACGTGTGGAATGTTCGGGGCGGTATCTCTCGTGTTCATTTTATCAATGCAGATCAATCTTAATCTCCGTTTAACTTTCCTTTTACCTTTTTCTAGTTCTAAGGCCCGGTTTCACCAAACGTCGCTTATTTTAAATCTTAGTTTAATTCAAGTTTGTCTCTTTCTAAAGTAACAGCTGATAAGAGACGAACGAAGTAAGCTAAGCTTGAAGTTAAACAACGTTGGTGAAAGAGTCGGAAAAGGGTGGAAAGTAAATTAAACCGAGATTAAAGTTTAACTATACAGTGGTAGAATTGGACATCAGTGGGACAACTAATCGGTGTGCTTCTCGATTCTTCTTCTTATTCTTCGCTTTGGGATCTTGCGGTTTGAATCTCGCTCAGGGATTTGACTCCATAGAAAGTACACATACGCGGCGAGTCGAACATTAAGCCTGACACTGCTGCGTCAAACCTGTAAATTTAATTCCGTGCAAGAGGACCAGCAACAGAAAGTTTCGGTTGCGCAATGTAAGATTGTATAATTAAATTTATGCTCGATGGTGGAAAGCATTCTTCTTTCTGTACATCTGGAAAATCCCCGGATACCCTGAGCACATTGAACATTTATCCCTACGCTAAAACCGAGTCTTGTTTCGATTCCTTATGTCCATTTCTACCGATGCAGATTAACTTTCATCTCAGTATCTTCAGATTTTTATCCTTTTCTGGTTTCTGGAATTGGAAAGAGATCGAAACTTAGTTGACCCGCGGAATTAAAATTCATCTGCACCGGTAGAAGCGGGCAGTAACGCACTTCCGTTTACCTGTCGGGAAGGGACGTTTCACTTTCTCCTCGAGCACGAGATAACTCGAGCAGCGTTCAACGCAGGGATTTTCCCTCGCACCGTTTCCTTCGTTTCCTTTTAGTTACGAGTTTCTTCTTCTTTATTACAGCCGAGCGCGAATAAAAAAGCAAAGACAATGCCGCAAACGACCACTATCGAAACCCTTACGGTGACCAGGCCGCTCAAGGTAAGTTCCAAGTTTTCATCGAAGCTCTTATCGCAAGCAGAATTTATCCGTGAATCGCGCGTACAGTGTTGCGCGTCGCGAGACGTTTAAGCACAATTTTACGTTCAACGTAAAATTATTCCTCCGCAAGTCTCCCTCGAATCTTGCCCATACAGCACCAAAGCTTTCAGAAACATTTCAGAAACGTTGCAAACTGCAATGTAATATCGCACAGACGGTTCAGAGACATTCAATTGTAATATTTCGCCGACAATGTTTCAGTAACCTTGCAGAAATATTATAAAGATTGCAAGATATATTTGTAACGTATTATAATGTTGTTTAGATTTTTCAAATTTATATTATTTCTCATATATTCCAAACGCAGCCTAATAGCATGTGTAGCAACGCCACCTAATAGTCTCGTGATTTCCGATATTACCTTTGAGAATATACGATAGACATCCAAGCGCGATAAGAAAGAAATGTTGCAATGTTTTCTTACACATCTCTTGGTTGTGTTTATATTCTCAAATCTTGTTTATTAGACTGTTCGAAAAGTTCGTTTCAAATTTCCTACGTATTGTACATACATTTAGCAGATATATACATAACAGACAGTATCAATTCACGACTCACTCGAACAGCTGGTGTAAACAAACTAATTGCCAGATGCTAAAAATTGACATGGAAGCCGTCAACAGTGCTATCAATGTGGGAAAAAAGAAATGTTTGTAGATATCTCAAGTGCACGCCGTTTAAATTACAAATTCCGGGTACTTTTTGAGCAGAAGGTATACAGGAAATTTCGAGGGGGAAACCGCTGACCAAAATCTTGTACAGCGATGCCCACTAATGTCCACTTGGCATTACTTTATCTTATTATCCTATTTTATCTTATTGATCCTCTTTTATCTTTGGGTGCTTCCGAAGAAGCGCTCGGGGCAGCTCGGGATTAGATTTTGGTATAGTGTACGTGACGTAAACTATACCTAAATCTAACTCTGAGCTGCCCCGAGCGCTTCTTCGGAAGCGCCCCTTTATGATGCCCCAGCAAGGCCTAATGCCCAAACTAATGCCCCAAAAATGCCCAGTGATGCCGCAAATCTGTACACCACAATGCCCTCGGCGGTTGCTGGAACATTTCGCAACCTCCGTGCAACGTTGCGATGTTGCAGTGAAAGGTGTGTGCAAGGTTTCTGCAATCTTTCGGTGCTGTACGGGTGGTTTAATTCATGCTCGCCTCTTTCTAACAGTTGGAAAGAGACAAAGAACGAATTGAGCCTAGAGTTAAGCGACGTTGAATGAAACCGGGCCTAAGAGAATAAATTCCTGCGAAGGGTGACGTAAAGAAACCGTTGTATAAAGATGACGCGACGACTGCGGAATGACGGATTTATATTCGCGGCGAGAGCCTCGTCGCTCCGATTTCGGGTGTCCCAAGGGAGAGACGATTCCGTTGCCCCGATTACGGCAAAATGAGCCGGACCCACGGGTGCTCGTGAATAAAAAAAAAACGTGGAGTTCACGCATCTCGCGAGGAGGCGAAGTGAACGTTCGCGTTGATCGTAAGCGGCACGAGTAATCGTACGCCGAGTCCGAGTCAGAATTACGTGCGACCGGAGGAACGCGAGAGGGTCGATCGGGTCGCGCGGGAAAGGGAGAAAGAGAGGAGGTAATAAAAATAACGAGGAGAAAGAAAGAGCGGGGGAGATTGGCGCTCGCGCGCGCGCGCGCTGCGCCGCGATCTTTAATGGGCGCCGATGGGCGCAGCCTCCCTGGAACGGCTGGAACCCGGAATCCGATTGCCTCTCGCGATTCCAGTCGCGGAGAGTCGGCCGCCCCCGCCTGAGAGACACGCGCTCTTTCCTCCTCCCTTACCCCCCTGAGTCCAGGTGCGAAGTATCAGCGGTCGTTAAAAATCGTTCGCGTCGCGCGGCAGGGGTGAGGGGGGGGGGTGGGCCGCCGCGACCCGGAGCACACTGCCATCGATCTGCGATCCGTCCGCCCCGCACGCGCGAAGGAGAGAGAGAGAGAGAGGAGCGAAAAGGAGGGAAGGAGGAGAAGAGATAGAGGAGAAAAAGAAGATCGACGGCCGCGCGCGGCGCGCGTTACAGGGGGTTGCCCTCGTCCGATAATACGCTGCGGGCCCGCCAGCGCGACGATAAGCCATTGACCCGCGCGCCCGTTAATCAACCCTCTTCCCTCTCCCGCTCCCCGCGCCTGCCGCACGGACCGCGCGGATCCCTCGGCGTGCGTTGTCCCGCGACGTTTGTCTCTCACCGGGGGCAGGGGAGAAACGGAGAGGGTGGATTCTCGCCGACGTACGTGCCGACGTTGAAAGGAAGCGCCGCGGGGGGCGGACGATGTTTCGCGCGTGCCTTGGGAAGAGCGTGTCTCGGTCGTCGTCGCCGCGTGTACGTCTCTGAAGGAACGCCGTGGAGGAGCAACTACCCCCCCTCGTCCCTCCTGCTCCTTCTCGTTCTGACCGACGCGCGCGTGCTTGCCTCCACGGATCGCGGACTCGCCGAGTGAAATGATTATGTACACGGTCGCCGAGGACCACATGGGCGACAACGAGATCGCGCAGGTATCCCCCGGGAAGGGAGCCTTCTCCCCCTGTTGTTCTGCTTTCCGCAGACGGCGGAGTCTCGAGCGGTGACCGACGTCGCTTCGCTGTCGACTCACGCTTGTCTTCTTCGCAGGTGATCGCGTTCATATGCGGGATCATAGTGGTGCTGCTGATGATAATGGGCCTGGCGTCGACCGACTGGCTGATGGCCCTGGGGTGGAGGCAGGGCTTGTTCGCCCACTGCATCGAGGAAGGCGCCCCGACGCCACTACCCTTCAACATGCCCGACCCGCCGGGCTGCTACCCGGCTAGGGACAGCGGTACCGATACTCCTCCTCGCTAAGCGCCTCCTCTCGCCGACCCGGTCCGTCCAGATTGTAATCTCACGTTTTACCTTGCAGCCTACATAAAGGCGGCCGCGGCCTTGTGCGTGGTGTGCCTTCTGACTGACATCGCCGCGACGATCCTCACCGGCCTGGGCTTGCGCACGCAGGATCACAGGGACAAGCACAAATATTACAGATTCGCAGTGTTCTGCATGGCCCTTGCACGTGAGTATGCGCATGTGTTGTACGAGCGCCTACCTCTTTTCGTCTCTTCTGCAACTGTACATCTCACGTCTGTGTGTTTCAGTGGTGTCCCTCCTGATAGCGCTGATCATATATCCAATATGTTTTGCGGCAGAACTGAATCTCGGTAAGCTTGTCTCTCTGGTTCCGATTCAATCGAGAGAAAAGGAACGGCGTAAACGTCGTTCCGCGCCTACGGTCGAGCTTGTAAGACACGTAATTGTCCTCTTCAGGAAACCGAACCAACTGGGAATTCGGTTGGGCGTACGGCGTCGGCTGGGGCGCGGTCATTTTCCTCGTTGGCGGCGCGGTACTGCTGCTGTGCGAGAAGGAAAGCGAGGAGATTTACTATAAGGAGAAGAAAACCGTTCGCGATGACATAGGAAGCGGCGGTTCCATGATTGGCATGGGACATCACGCTGGACGAGGCGGTACGCAGCTAGCCTAGTGGCATTGCTCCCTGCCCGATGTTGTTCTCTAGGTGATTTGTTTCGTCTTTCTTCCGCTCTCACACAGTTCGACACATGCGCATACGAGAAGGTATACAAGCCTATGAGAATGGGTATTCGATAGGGCGTTTTTGGCTGACGCCAAGGGAAACCATCCTTACGGATTCTCCGACCAATCTGGATTTCCTCGGTACACGAGTATCGAGGTGTCGGCAGCTTTTTAAATACAACAAGGCAAAGTCTAAAACGCGTAAATAACAAGAAATCCTCGGTTGGCCTTTCGCGAAAATTGAAATTTTACTATCGAGACGTTTAGTGCTGACGCTAATGGATTAATGACGCCGATTGTTTCGCGGGAAACAATCGACTGGAAATTAGCCGGAGAATCCGTCGGTCGGTTTTCATTGTCGTTGTTTGAAAATATCTGAGGTAGATGTAATCTGTTCATTAGATGGGTGTGTATTCGAGTTACTATTAGTTTCAAGTAGGATAACATCTCGTTAAAGAAGTACGCATTTCGATCGTCCAGTTTTCGACCGTTTCTCATTTAACTACTGACAATTTCGGGACCATTATCAGCTTCGATTTCGGTTCTCGTGTTTGCCACATCTCGTATGTTCTTGGACAGTTTTATACGCGCACTTTGTATAATATATTTTTGTATTTTTATTGTAATTTTAATTATAACGATTTATATTAACGACGCTGCATTCATTGATCATAAACTAAATTCGTAAGAATATCATACTCGTCACCGAGTATGAGAGACAAAAGACAAAATTCCAGCACGAATTTTGTGTTTCTTTCGTGTAAATACACACATACGCGGATTGTTCTTGATGAAAGTTTGATTAGACTTAATTGTTTTTCGTGACTACTTTATATTTAACATGAAAAAAGGCTGCTGGAAGAAGTATATTTTATAATTGCAATATCTGACAATTCTAAACTTTACAAATGCAGGAAGCTTTAGTTTTCTTTTATTTCAAACGGATTTAACTTCAACTGCACTTTGAGACTTTAACATTCCATACAAAGACGTTTGCCTAATAGAATAGTGCCCCGTCAAACTTTTTAATTCGTAAAAGACCAGCTTCACGTCGGGATCTATCCCAATGTTCCGGACACTATCTAGTATACACATAACACAATTATGTTTAATTAATTCTACAACAGCGATTCTCTTCGTTACCCTTCGCAATCCATTCTCTTCTACAATGATAAACATATCATATATTCAACTTATTGCTAGTTGTATTAACTTGATTTCATCTATACAAGTTATCCCAGGGAGAATATCATATCAAGTATGTTACGTTAACAACGTATAAGAACTGAAGCATATAGCGTGATCACATACAACTGTGCGCAATCATATACATACATATGAGCAGATCAGTTTTGCAGTTATTTATTTTACTGAACGTCTCCAACATCACATAACTTTGAAGACTGAACGCATACGTCATTTATTCTAACGTTCTACTTTGCTTAACAAACGCAAACCTGTTTGAAAAGCATTCGACCAATACCGTCCAAACGTTCAGGATATTTCTGCTGGGATAGCCTGCATTTGTCATCTAAACTTTGAAAATAATTTAAAGAATCGAAGAGGAGATGCTTACAAATTGTTGGCCTATCATTAACATTTGTTCCTATTTCCTTAAGCAACATCGCGACTGGAAAAACATGACACGCGCGTAAGCTGAGGTAAAATTTATCATAAAAAAACCTGCTTTGAGAACGGCGCGTTTGAAAAACTGTCCTTTTTCCATCTTACAGCATATTCTCGCGCGGAAACAACTACGATTCTCCGTGGACGATTGTACGCTCACAATTGTTTTCACGCTGACTCTTATGAGATATAAAAAACGCGTTTGCTAACGTGTCTTTTTTCCAGACGCCGTTTCAATTACGTAGTATTGACACTTCTCGTTTCTACCGAAGAAAGATCTCCGGAGGACAATATGTTGTATCTAGTATCTTTTCGTCAAACTTTTTGTAAATGTGGTGTATATACTATATAGCTAGTAATTTATTATTGATTTCCACGCATATACTTTTTTTAAATTTTTTCTTCTCCCCGTTTCTCCTCTTTCCCCCTTTTTCTTTCACTTTACATATAATCCACGCGTATATTAAAAATATATACATATATATATTTATACTAAAATCTGCCAATTTTTATTATGCATGTCATAAATTTTCGATATGCGTAGCGTGAGGGCACACACCACGAGGAGGGAAATAATTTACTTAATATATACAGATTTGATACGAACCTATGAGCTATACATAAAGCGCTTCGTAATTTTAGCTTTTACATTTTTATTGTTGTAAACGGCTGTAAATTCCTCTCATTTACGATAAGGGGCTTAATCACAGACTGAAAGCTCTTTAAGTATTTTAAAAACGATAGCGCATGGCTGAGGTGGCGTACAAGTCTCGTTTGAGCCTTACAAACCATTTGTGAGTGTGTTTCATTAGTTGTTCTCATTCGAGAAGAAAGAGCGAAAATGGGCGCGCGTGACAGAGAACAGCTTGTAAGGTTTATCGTTATCACGTGTACCGATCGTCATCCTCATCCGTTTTATATTGTCAACAGCGTTGATAGCGAACATTACGAGAAAAGAAAAGAAACAAAGACTAGTGGCATATGCGCGTATCGGGAAGGGAAAGGATGCTGGGCTCTGTGCAGCACACATGCGAAGCCGACGAGTTCTCTTACGAAACGCTTGATGACGAGGCTCTTACATTACGAAAGCGAAGCGTAGCAATATTATCCATCGTTCGTAGCGTATATCTTTGAACTTATTACCTCATGTATCGTTTAAGTTAATTATGAAGCACAAGACACGTTTTTTAAGTGCAGGATGGAACGGAGGCAGCTCGGGCAGATGTTATTTATTGCGTTATTTGCATTAGATACGTGTACGTATATGTGTATATATAAATGAATATATATATATATAGATATAATATTTTATAAGTACGTGTAGTTTATAGCGTTATATACTCGCAGAAGATGTAGCAGTCTGATGCGCGCAGTTCGCGGCGTGCGGCGAATTACGGTCTACGTTGATGCATTCAATTCCTCATCGCAATACGATTTCTGTATGCTCTCCGAAAGCAGACAGCGTGTAGCACGTTCGTTGGGATATTTTCGGCCGACGCGATTAAGAAAGAAAATGAAAGAGAAACTCAAGAGACTATTAAGAATTGAGTACAATGTCGTTACATTATATTCCGCTTGTACGGTAGATTTTCTATTCTTTAACCGCTTAAACAGTTTTATCGCGTACGTAGTGGTACTTTGTAACGTATATAAGGAACAATATTGCGATATAAGGAGTTAGTAAAGGAATTATATCGAGTGTATGTTAAACGAACTCGTGATTTCTATATATCGTCAAACATGCACATAGCATATAAGACAATCCGTTAAGTCAGTCTTGCGTTTGCTGACTGTATGTATGTGCGTGCGTGTGTGTGTGTGTGTGTGAAATTCTGTCGTCTATTTGCAAAAAGAAAAGGAAAAAGGAAGATGAAACACACTGAGTGCAACGAGCTAAAAATCTGTTGTCTACGGTGTGAAACATATCGGAATGAACTTTTTTAATAAAATTAAATAGTAGACTAAGTATTTAAGGTTCTCGAGATAGGTTTCTCTACGTAATTAACGGCGATATGTAAGTTTACATACTTAAGTAAGTTTACATATGTAAGTTTTAATTGGAATCTCCCGCCGGGTTTAAGCGTTTGCAAATTGTCGACAGAATCGCGACCGCTGTGTAGTCACCGGGTTTGCCAATCTCTGAATCCGTTTGCCGGGCAAACTCTCGGTCGGACAGAATTGCACAACGGTCCCGTGTGACGAGCGAGGCGAAGTGGACGCATCGTCTCTGACTTGATCACACCGATTGTTTAGATATGCATCTCATTGTCAGCAGCAACACAACAGTTGTATAGTACTTTAAAGCATATACATATCGCACTCGTATATATGCCGTAAAAAGTATACCATTATGCATAAGTATATGGATCCTATAATATAAATTGATATATTATTTGTGCGCCATACTCCAATGTTAACGTATTGTATTGTACAAAGAACAAAATGTAACGTTAAAGCTACGACGCCTGTGTATTTGTGTATGTCTCCGAAGACCACTTTAGACGATTTATAATCATGGCTTCCGGACGGTTGCCGCGTCCGTTTGTGCAGTGTGGCGACGACGTTTCGCAAACATTGCAGTTTGCATCATCAGGGCTGCGAGACTGATACTGTATCGTCGGCATCACACTGCAAACGGACGCGGCAACCGTCCGGAAGCCATTACGACCGAAGAAGACAGCAGCCGCGAAAGCTTGAAAGCCAAGATTTATTATCATATTCGCGTGTCAGATTTCAACGTGGGATTCTACTTATAATTTTATTTGCTCCGTATTTTCTTTTTCAATTCTTTCACATTCATTTTTAATATAATTTTTAATAAAAGTATCCTTAAATTAATATTTTACGTTGATATATGTATACGAGGGTGAGTCAAAAATTATCCGCACTTTTCGTTCTACAATTTATTTACACAAAAATAGGGGTTTAATATGTACGTCATTTTTCAACATAGTCTCCTCCCTTGGCAATGCACTTGGTCCAGCGGTCCACAAGCGTATTGCTTCCAAAGAAGGTGTATTTCTTCCAAGAAGAAAACCACTTTTGCACCGCTTCCTGCAAGCCCAGATCTTGCTCCCTCCGACTTTCATCTGTTTCGGCCGCTCAAGGATGCTTTGCGAGGTCGTCAAATTTCTACAGACGTAGACGTGCAGGAAGCGGTGCAAAAGTGGCTTTGCGACCAACCGAAAACCTTCTCGGAAGGTATACGCAAGCTTGTGCACCGCTGGACCAATTACAATTTCCAAGGGAGGAGACTATGTTGAAAAATGACTACATATTGAACTCCTATTTTTGTGTAAATAAATTGTAGAACGAAAAGTGCGGATAATTTTTGACTCACCCTCGTATATTAAATTTTAATTAAATTAGTATATCATAATTCATCAAACGTTTTTCGTGTTGCGTGGCGCAAAATTATAAGTTATCTAAATTGAGCTTCACCTCGCTTCTCCGGATCTTTCTCTAATGTCTGTTTCTATCAGCGAATTTTAACTTTAATTTTGGATTAACTTATTTTTTTACTCTTAGAGCTAAACAAAAGTACGTTAAACCGAAATTAAAGTTAATTTACATTAGTAGAGAGAGTGGTCTCGAATTTCTTCAATCTTTCCTTCACATTTTCCATTTGCTACTCTATTATTTAACTATAGTCGACGTCAGAAAGTTTATTCTATCTTATCAGACTTTTAGATATTTCTTAAATAATCGATTTTTCTTGGATATCTCGTGTTTGTACGAAGGAGTATACCATTTTGCTTCTAAGTTTCGTTTCTCTCATCATCCAGTGTACCGTTATTAATCTCGAGGCAATGACGTATGGCGGAAAGTGCTTGTAAAAATTAAACTTCCTCCAAACTCATTTTTACAAACTCGCATTCTATCGACTTAATATTTCTTTAAGCCCTTCACGAGTCCAATCCTGATCCTGATTGCGAGCTTTCGAACGCCATTGAGAATTCCCGCCGTTCGTCCGACCAATCCGACGAGCTCGGCCGCGATTGGAGGATCAGTCGGCGTGCTTCGAGGCAACCGCGCGCGGCGCGTCGAGCGGCCGCGCTCGCGCGCGAGGCCGCGCATCTCGTATGCGCGCGATCGCGACCGTTGAGAAAATTGCGCCATTTCTCTTTTTTTCAGTTACCGAGCGAGTTGAATCCGGCTTGGCGGAGGAGGAAGGCGAGTCGCGCAATAACCGGACGGTGCAGAAAGACGGCCGGGCGGTGGTGGTGCGCGTGATCACGCGGCGGTTTCTGAGCGGAGAGCCGAGGGCGAGCTGCAGCCGCGCGGGCCGGGAGCGACCGCGAAGCACGGCCGTCCACGTGCGTGAACGTGTGCAGGGAGAGAGAGAGAGAGAGCGGCGAGCGAACGAGCGGGCGTCCCTCGCGCCAAGGCGGCGAGCGGCGGAGGATCGATCATCGATCGAAATAAACGGGAGCGGGCGTCCGTGATACGCGACCGTCGCCGTTCGGGCGTCGCTTTTTCCAAGCCGGGCTTCCTCGAGCCCCCGAGTTCGGGATCGCGATCACTCGCCCGCGGGAGACAAGATGTCGGTGGACGCGCTCAGCGACTCCGAGCTGCGGACCAAGCTGATGGAGTACGGGTACCCGGTGGGACCGGTCACGCAGACCACCCGCAAGATACTCGCCAAGAAGCTCAAGAACCTGATGGAGGCCCGCGCCGGAGGTGCAGGAGGAGGCGGAGGGTCCCGGCATTCGTTGGCCGCGAGGTGAGCGTTTTTCCTCGGAGTGCTGCACCGGGCCTTTCCTTTCAGCTACGTTTGTACACTCGAGACTTGGGCGAGGGAGAGAGAGAGAGAGAAGAGGCGCGAGGAGGAGCCGAGGGACCGGCACGATTCCCATCGAGGTCTCGGATTCGTGCGAGGTCAGCATGCGATAACGATCCTCGAAAGCACGCGACGCAAGATTCGCAACTTCTCGCCGCGCCTGTCTCGAGTCCGAGTGGAAGAGGGTGTACGAAGCGCCCAGTGTTTACAGTCCGTTTACGGCATTGCGCAACGCGGTGGCCGTAGTTTACGCCGATCATTCAATACGCGTGTCGAATAGTGAGTTTTAGCGAGTCCAAACTGATGATTAAAATTTCTTTAACGATAACCACTTGATACGCGTATCAAACAATCGGCGTAAACTGTACCGATTGTTTACAAGATAGCCCTTGCGACAATGTTATGTTTAGAATTGGTTTTATCAAGCGAACGCAAATCTCACGGGGAAGATCTGCGAGATTTGGTCGACAAGACGGAATCTAAGTCTCTCTTATGCTTTCGATCGATTGGCGATAATGCTAGACACACATGTAGAACGTTTTATGTATGTACGTCTTGATATTGTTTTGTTTTCTTCATCTATGCGCTAGATATAGCAGCGACGACACAGACGACGACACGAACACGAGTGTCGTTAAGAAGAAGAAGAGCGCGAACCTGCGCCGGCAAACGTTGGCGAACCCCATGCCGCCGCCCACGATTATTCCCGCGGATGCTGCGAGCGTGGCGAAAAATCCGGTCAAGGAGACTCCGTCGCCGCCGCACTCCGAGTTCAAAGACCCTAACGCGACGAATTTCGACAACTCGGGCGTGACTCGAATGACTACCAAGACCACGCAGAGCAAGTTCACCAAGACGCAGCGAACTTACGTGTCCGACGGCCTGGAAACTGGATCGGATTCGGATGTCGTGGAGGATACCGGCGGCTCGTACGGACGTTCGTACGACAAGTACATGTCCGGCGGCTCGAGCAGACTGTACGACTCCCGAATATACGATCGCGGGACTCACGACTACGATCAGATGGCGAAGGCCAAGCCCGCTTACGCGATGAAGGACAGCAAGTACAATGTGTCTCCTCTGCTGAAGCCGGGCGTACCTTTGAATCAGTCCGTGAAGGAGGACAGTGCGATCCAGAGGGATCTTCTTGCAAACTATGAATCCCCATTTTTGTCAGAGTTTACCAGAAGACTCAGCTCGCGTTCTTTGATAAACACAAGCACGTCGCCATCCACGTTGTCGGGTTTAAAAAGTAAGGGGGCTTCCTGACGCGGTGAAATCTAAGGGCCTGAGCAGAATGGCTGTCTTGTATTCTTAAGTCACAAGACAGTTATTCTGCGTTACTTTAAGACAAAGATTTGTAACATAAAACATTGTCTTAAGAGTACAAGACTGCCATTCCGTTCAGGCCCCAACACACTTTAATACGAGACGCATCTATTTCGAACCGATTCTTGTCCCTCGTACTCCTGTAATGAGTGGAGCATTTTCGTTATCTGTAATTTTATTTAGTTCGGATCGATTTTAAAGATATGTCTGTTTGGTTCGAAATAAGAATCTTGTCTTGTATTAATTACACAAAATCACCCGTGTGCCTAATTCGCGCGTTCTTTTATAACATGCGCTTTTTTTTAAAACTTCAGGTCCTACATTACGTCATAATCTGGCGTCTGGTTTACCAGAGGTGAAAGAGAGAGATTCGAATGGTCACTTTTCTTCCTTAAGGAGCATGTACTCGGCATCGAATCAGCCAAGGTATACACGAATTATTATTTTAGCCGAAATTATTAACGTAATGTAATTAACGAAACGCCATTTAGCTCGAGATACAGCCCATCGTCCGCCGACAGAGTACGGGATATTTTCAGTAGAGCGACTTACAAATCGCCGACGACGAACGCAAACAGGGAGGACGTGCGAAATAATCAGAACATCGTGTCGATGGGCCTCGTGGCAGTACTCGCCCTATTCTTTGTAGTCATTGCAATAATATATCTGGGACTTGGTGGAAAAAACGAGACGTTTCCATCGCTTTCATCGGGTAGGTATGCAGAGATATAACTAGGGGAGATTTCTGAGGCGGATATAATTTTAAGGGGACGGGAAGATTTTTCTGAGAAATACACGTTTGATTGTCGGAAATAACAGAGTGCAAGGCACAATGTGTATATGCTCTTTTCTCAAATCAATTTTGGCTCACAACAGAGTTATGTATATTCTACTAATTACTACTACTAATTATATTTCTACTAATTATAACGTACAATCACATTATTTTTTATGAAGCTAAAGTAATTATCCCGAGCTTACTAAATCAGACATGCAAGAGAATCTTGAATATGTATTTTCCTTTTTCTCATATATATATATATATATAATATATACACACACATATGTATAATAAAAATCTCATATCTCTTAAATTATATAATTTGGATATTTTATTTCCTTTTCCCGTTCATTCTATATATCTATTCCAGTATATTTCAACTTACATTTGCGAACATGCGTTTTGCACCATTTAATTTGGTCGATGTTCATTTACGTGTAGGAATAAAACTCGTGGAGAGCTCGGAAAGGTATCTCTTCGCAGAAGAGATAGATTTTTTTAAACAAAAGTCACTTGTTGCTCTATCAAACAAAGATTGAGCCGATATATTTTTGTTACGTTTATTGTAGCTTTTGTTCTACGTTGTTCTGCAGAAAGATTGAATTTTCAATTGTCACTTGCAAGTATTTAGATATTTTTTAAAATCTCCTATATGGATTTTGTAACAAGTACAGTTTAGTTCAAAGGATTAATTTGTATACAGGAGAGGAAGTGGGTTTGAACATGGAATTTTTTCGAATGAAGGATTGCCATTTGCACTTTCATGGAGATAAAATACATTGTCGGCTATTTCTGTTATTTTTCTCACTCATAGTATTGATTGTTTGAAAACATGACAGTTTTTCATTTGAAAAGCAGGAGAGACCGCATGATTCGCAATTGCCTCACGTTTACAATTACTTTTGTTCTCTTTCCATGTTATGTATCACTTATATTGATCTTAATTTAATGTTTCATAGCACCGAGTGTTTCATACATTTATAGATACCAACATACCGCAGTGTAATTTTCTCGATGAAGCTCCCGATCGCAAAAAGCCCTGGTCGAATTGCATAATGAAGGAAAATGTAGAATCTGTGTTGCAACTGGTGAAACGCCTGCATCCCATCCTAACGAGAAAGGCGATATCTAAAATATGCGACAATTCGATCGAGAAACCGTATTTGACCGATGCGGATATCGTGGAGATGTTTGCGACCGGCAAAGTGGTGGGTTGACGACTGAAATTAATTACTGAAATTCGTTTAACAATGCAACAACTGTACAACGATAATCTTCACTTCCAGACGAGGTTCGAGGTGCAGGAGGACGTGCACGGCGCGCAATTATTAATTCTTAAGAATCCGAAATGGGGTATCTCGCTTATCGATATAAATGACGATAACGAAGCAACCACGGAAACACTGGATACTGAAGTAAATATATGTCTGGTGCTCTCTTTTTGATTGCAAATGTGCTTGCGATATCTATTAATACACATTTGTTTAATCGTTACAGCAAAAGTTGTATTACGCCCGTAAGGATGGAAAAGTTGGGATGGTGATTTTAAATCCTGAACTGCCAATGCAGTGCCTCGTTAAGAACAAACTTTTTACCGTCTTTTCTTCTCTCCTTATAGTCGCAATCGGTAAAGTTCTAACAGACTGTTTATTTGAGAAAACCCGCTGAACCCTCATTCTATGTTATAAGTTTCCTATGTGCATGCTGTTTGTGTATACTCGTAAGATTATTATTCATTCCTTTTTCATGATGCAATGTAAGCTATACTTTAAGTAAATTGCTTCTTGAAACGATTCCGTATGCTTTGACGATATAATTTTGTCTTTAATATGCTATCGTAAACTGGAATTACTTCGCAACGAGGCATTTCTTTCTTTAAATCTCCCGAGGCGCATTGATAAAGTGCCGAATCTTTTATATATTAAATGTAAAAATATATATATATATATAAAGAGAAAGAAATGCCGTTTCACATAAACGAGGAATTCACAAGTGACTTGTAAAGTAATATCTGTTTGCGGTATTGCGATGCATACATATGTATACATAGGCAAAAATACGTGTATCAAAAGATTTGTAATAGTGACTGTGCATCTTCAGTCTTATTAACAGGTATTGGAATTTATAAATCGTACCTTTGGTATCTAAGATACAAGAAAAGTACGGAGCGAGAGGTGTTTAAGCTCGTTAGCGATATCATAAGTATCGTCGAGACACACCATCAAAATGCGTCCACGCAACCCGGCGCGCAGGAAAGTTTCCTTGCCATAAATCACGTGCGAGACAATCTTATTCCGCCGAAAGATCGCAAAAAGATGACCGGCCTTTGGGAGAGGGCAGTCAAGTTTTTAGATGAAAACGAGTCCAGGTAAGAGTGTCTTTCGTGTCTCTCTCCGACACGTATAATATTTCGTACTTCACTCGCGGGTGAGTAACGAGATGTGATCTTGATCTTTCAGGATTCGAAGAGAGGTACAGCAAGTGGCAGGCGAGGAGTTTCATGTATGGCGATGGTTGCCGAATAATAGTTTGAACAAATCTCCCACGCAGATCACGAGTTTGGGTAAGAAGCCGAAGGTCTGGCAGGGACAAGCGTTCGAGACGATGGAGGGATCAGTTAATAGCTTGACTTGTTCGCCAACGCCTTGTCTGAAGATCAGGCATATGTTCGATCCAGATGTGTGAGTAATATATTGTATAATAAAAAAAACTTGGTAATGGATGACTTAAAGAATCGCTCTGTACTACGATACAGCGAAACCGAAGACGACTGGGAGACGAGAGTGCAGGATGCTATTTTAGAAAAGTGCGGGGACGGCGTGAAGATACTTCATATTCGAGTGGACATCGGTAGCCGCGAGGGTTGCGTTTACATGAAGTGCATGTCGCAGGAAGACGCTGGCAAGGCTTACAGGGCATTACATGGTTGTTGGTTTGACGGTACGTCTATCATTTACTCTTCAAAACTGAATTCTTGAACGCTCGCACGGTCCGTTGGCGATCGTTTCGCATAAAGCTCTCGCGGAATTTAGATTATTGAGAAACTTGTAACGCGAAACGTACAGAATATTAATGTGGAAGTGTTAAAGATATTACACAATTGTTTATCTTCAATTATACAATCGGCACTGACTTTACGCTAATTTCAATGTATACGTCGCAAAATGTGCTTTCAATGGATTTCTTAATTTTCTTCCCAGGTAATTTAGTGACTGTGAAGTACCTGAGATTAGAGCGTTATCACGAGCGATTTCCGGACGCCGCCCGCTGCGTGACGCCTCTCAAGCCGAGTAACAATCAACGATTGTCCATGCAGGCGCACTACTGGCAGAGCCCGGCGGAGGCGAATTGAAAGTTTCCACACACATTTCCATTTCGGACATTCAGAGGAGAGCGCGAGCTCTCGCGTTTCAAATCATGCGCAATTGTCCCGCCTGAAACTCACTTACGGAATCTGTCTGTCTTTTATTTATTCCGTGACGACATAGCTGCGCGGCGCAAATACATGTCGTAGGATCGACGGCACTTCTATTTTATAAGAGCCTTTTCTTTTAAATTCGCAAAATTGTGTATTATATTCTACTTTATACCTTTCAATGAACGAGACGGAGGAGATACGTGTTTTTAATAGTTGAGTAACCATGATAATTATAATAATATTAATAACAGCACACACATACACGATAACATTAATATATAATTAAGTATGCTTTTCAAGAGCTGTAAAAAAAATATTTTAATCTGAGTTTTCTAGTATTTTCAAGTAGCAATATACGTGCGTAAGCATAACGTACATCGCATTCTCTGTAGGCCTATCCAGTACTAATTCGTATCAGCTGTATGAAGCACAGTGTATGTACGCACAGAAATCGAAACAGTCGTACATTTAATATACGGAACGCGACAGAGTACCAGCTCCTTATGTATTAGACTCGCGACGCGTAATTTCTCTGTGCGTACGGTTACGCCGTCATTGAAATAAACTATCGATTTAATTACTTAAGTTTAATAATTTTTTTTATAACTGCATAAGAGAGTTATTTTTTACGATGTATGATAAAAATGTACAGTGAAATACGATTAAATCACTTTGTAAAAAGAGAGCAATATCGAGTTAAATGATGGAACGGAAACCGCCGCGGATGCCGTTGATGCTGTCCGAGGAGCAAAGTAAATTGCGGAACGAGGTACATCTATGCGTTGTCCGTAGCACGCGCACAAGTCTGTGTTACAGTAAGTTAATGAATAAGATAGATAAGAAAATTATCGAACACGATCCGCTATAATTAATTCGCGGAGACAATGGTATTGTCGACCGTTTCTCAGGCGTCCACGTTAAATTTACAAATTATTTACAATTATCGCTTGGGCTATTTTCGCGAGCTTATAATCTGCCCGGGTGCAGTTGTATAACATTTTTACGAGAGATAAAATATCGCGTCTCCCATCGGGCGTGCCGATTTCTATTTCCCGCGATCGCGGCACTCGAGAGTAGTCGAGAGGGCGGCAGTGCCGAGGCAGTGCACTTTTCGGGCTTGTCATAATACGCGAACGTAACCTGAAAGCATTCCCGGGCGGATATTTATCGAGGGCATGCCCCTCGTTCGCCGAGGGTGATCGCGCGAGGTTTCGAGCTGTCGAGAGGAACCGAGAATGAAGTATTCCACCTCGCCGCCGACGAGCCGGTGCCACTCGCCCGTGCCGACGGAATTTTCGTCCTCGTTGCCGACGCCGATCGTTTACAGGTAACGTCGCCGTTTGCTGGCGGACACGCGCTGCCCCTTTTCCTAATCTATCGTCCCTTGGCAATCAACGCGTTCAGTCCCCGTTTCATTTGCAAAGCCATTTTTATGTGTATTATTACTCGCGTTGCATTACTTAGCTCTTTTTAACCCTCGTCGGACGTTGGAGTCAAGTTGACTTTTTTAACTCTATTTCAGCGTAATCCAAAGTGTTTATTTTGCACATTCTGATCTAATAATGATATTGGGACACGTGGGAAAAATGCAGCTGCCGTAGCTAAAAACTGTACGTAATGACTGAATTTCAGTTGTAAAATATGGACGGCTAATATCTTGCTACTGTGCCTATTGTATTAGGTGCGACAGCAAACCGTTTGCGGTGGCTTAGAAATTTATAGTCGTGGCAGCGAAATGGTTTTAGCAAGTCATACTTGGCTATGGTAGCGAACAGTTTGTTTTCAGTGAATAAATCAGAGTACAATGTGAACCATTACTTTGTCCGTGTTTTGTGGATGAAGCTTCAATTGGCATTTCGATTTGTCCGCGGCGTCAAATTGACCCCCGAAGCTCAAACGCACCGTCCGACGAGGGCCGATTTCCTTGCTGTCACTTAATTACCTTGCCTTGTTGCATTTCCCTCCGCTTCAAAGTTTGATCGAGCGGGTAAACGTGTCGTGTTTGCAGGCACAACTGCATGGGCGCGGCGACCAAGTGCTACAAATATCTGAGAAAACTACTCAAGTTCGAGCAGATGGATTTTGAGTTCGCCGTCTGGCAGATGATCTTTCTGTTCGTGGCGCCGCAGAAAGTGTACAGGAACTTCCAGAACCGAAAGCGTACGTTGCACCCGACGTAATCGTGGAAACGTTCTATTCTCACCAGTGTGTCCGTCGGATTCTTGCAGAGACCAAGTCGCAGTTCGCGCGGGACGACCCGGCGTTTCTAGTGCTGGTTACATGCTGCATCTGCATATCCACCGTTGGTCTCGCCATAGTACTGAGTTTACGATTCTTCCAGTTTGTAAAGTTGTTATTTTATATGGTGTTCGTCGATTACATAGCCGCTGGATTGTTAACAGCGACGTTACTTTGGTAAGCTGCGCCGTCCTTTCAAATCGCAGCCTTTACGATAGAAACTGCGATTGACTCGAGATCCGCCGGCTCGCATTTTAATCCCGTGATCGCTTTATTTGTAGGTTTATAAGCAATCGCTACTTTAGGATAGACAGGACGCAAGACGTCGAGTGGGGCTACGCGTTCGACATCCACTTGAACGCAGTCTTTCCTCCGCTAATCATACTTCACATCTTGCAGTTATTTGTGTACAATGGTGCGCATACGTTTCGTCCCACTGCGTCCGACGTGCTCTTCGTCGAGTATTACTTTATTGTGCTTCATCTTTTTGCAGCTTTCATAAACAACGACACGTTCTCGGCGCGATTTCTTGGGAACACCTTTTGGTTTCTAGCCACGATCTATTACATTTACATCACGTTTCTCGGCTACGCGAGTAAGTTGAGGACGCGACGCTCGAGTGATACTTTTCTCCCTTTTATTAGCAGGGATAATTTTATCATTGTTCTCATTTCAGATATCGAGATACTCCATAAAACGCATCTGATATTGTCGACTCTACCCGTAATGCTGCTTATGTACATTACCACGTTATGCGCCGGTATCAATATAAGTTATTTAGTCATGGAATTCTATCGTTATCGGGCCCTGTGAGGCATCGGATCTTTGTCGAGCGCGTATGAAATTGGAATAACAACCTAGCCGCATAGAATCCCTCTAATCTGGAGTCTACAAGGGAAAGACTTCTACTTTGGAGTCTTCTCGATCCTCGCTCTTAATTTACGTGCTCCGTTGCTTGCTTCCTTGTTCTACGATGTTAAACAGCGGAGCAGGGAAAATTCTAAGAGAATTTCATTATAGAATGGAGCATCACTCTAAGACTCTTTAGGGCCAGTTTCACAAACGTTGGTTAACTGTTAACCAGAGTTCAGTCAACGCCCTATCTTTTTCTATCTTGTTCTCTAAGAAGAGACAGAGGATCAGTTAACCTTCGGTTAGCAGTTAACCGACGTTTTTTAAACTGGCCCTTAGTGATTTTGCGATCCAAGAATATATCTATTTTGTGGTTTTGTATTCTTAAGACACAGAACTGTCGAACACGATGCCCTAAATATAATCCGCGCAGTAGCGAAAGCGATTTTTTTAATATAAAAGTTGTGATACTGGAGTTTAATTTGTTAATAACAAAGTGTCGATATCACGAGTGTATCCAAATGCGTTTCAGTTCGGAGACCTGTAATAGCGAATCTATGGGCGATATTGGTGCGATCGTACATGCAAGATCACCTGAAATGTACTCCCTCCCCCCCTTGGTTATCATTTTATTGAGAGGAATCTAGAAAGCAGTTACATTTAAGAGATCAGACCTAAGACGATCTTAAATGTAAGATCCGATTTATGAACAAATTCAAGATGTGATTTCGAAAAGGTACGATACTTTGTAAGCACCGCCCTAATCTCCACTTCTACCAATACAAGTTAACTTTAATCTCAAGTTTCATTTGCTTTTCGTCTTTTTCTAATTCTTGGGACTAGAGTCGCCATAAAGTTTTATCTGCATTGTGGAATACACGTTATTGCGAATAGTATTATCACAGCCCCGGTGGTCGAGCTGGCTAAGACGCCCGTCACGGATTGTAGGGAGGTCCCAGGTTCGAATCCTGGCTGGGGTATTATTTTTCGCAATAAGAATTTTAATTGCCAGACACGGTCGACAAAAATTACCGATGTTATTAATTTATAATTACTGCTGGCGACTTTAAGAATATTCTTAATAGAAAATAATGGACATAAATGTGGAGGCGACGGCGCGCACCAATCATTTTCTACATGGACGTAGGAACCCAGATAACATACATGTCTAAAAGACATCTTTAAGCTGTCTTTAACACGTCTTTTAGACATCTTTTAGACATACACGTCTAAAAGATATCTTAAAGACGTTTTAAAGAAGTCTTGAAGATGTCTTTTAGACAAGCATGTTATCTGGGAAATATCCGGACGGAGCGTAAAGTACCCTTGTGGACGCGGGGAGTTGGCTCTGAAGGGTGAGAGGAATCTATCGTCGTGGCCATCTTGGTGCCGGATATTTAGTGTCTAATTGTCACATCGTGACAATTCAATCGTGACATAGCGTTTTCGATTTTCTGACTCGACCGCGACCCCGAGTCAGAAAAGTTTGATCAAAAGTAAGATTTTTGCAGAAATTGTGGTTCAAATCTTGCTTTTGATCTTTTCTGACTCGGGGTCGAGTCAGAAAATCGAAAACGCTGGTAGATTCTGCCATAATTAAGAGCATACGCCAATTAGATTCAGGATTTTTGCAACAGTTGCAAAGCAGCTTTTTCTGCTGAGCGCGGCCATTAAAGCGAATGTCTGCCAAAGGGACACGCGACGTTTCCTCTCTGTCGCGACTTCTCGGCCCGCGTCCCACGGCGAAAGCAGCGCCATCTGCAGCGCGAGGGGAAGCATCATCGAACTAATCGCTGTACTTCAAAATCGCGGGATCTGCTGTCAGCTTTCTCCCCTCGCGGCTTTATTCTCGCCCTACGGTTTTTCTATTAGTAAATAAAACAGGAGGACAGAGGAATAAACGCGCGCGATGAGCACGCAGCAGCCGCCCGCCGTGAAGATGAAAGAGCTGCGCCTGCCGATCTCGAGGGTCAAGACGATCATGAAGAGCTCGCCCAGCGTCGACACCGTCGGGCAGGACGGCTTGTACCTGGTCACAAAAGCAACGGTAAGACACACTTGGAGGTTAGAGGTGCGCGCCTCAAGGGAGCCACCGAGACGACTTATTAATGTATATATTTGTTAACCTGCTAAGCAAACGACAAATTAAATTCGACACTCATTCTCTACTACGTGCAGTTGTAAATATTTCTGGAGTAGGATGTTACTTTCAAGCATGGTTGAGCATTTACCCTTAAACTATAATAGTTTACGTTGCAAACAATGTAAACATGTTATCTAAATCAACGATAAGTAATCTATGAAAAATGGTCTGTCAAAGTCGAAGACTTTCCTGATATTTTATACTTTGTGGAGATTATTAAGTTTATGTCACTTCAACTGTAACGTCATACTATGTCATTATTGAACACAAACATGTAACTTAATAATTTTTAACATAAACATCTTGCTCGACGCTGAAGAAGCTCATAAATAATAAACTATTTTATAACGTAAAATATAATAACATCAATGATTTTTTATTGACCGTATCTGGCAATTAAAATTCTTATTGCGAAAAATATTACCCCAACCAGGATTCGAACCTGGGACCTCCCTCGATCCGTGACGGGCGTCTTACCAGCTCGACCACTGGGGCTGCGATAATACTATTCGCAATAACATATATTACTTAAGATGTTGTTTACGCGTCTTTTTTCGACTTTTCAGAACAGTAAAATATAATCACTCTTTTTGGCATTTTAAATTATCAAGTTTACGTTGTGAAAAAGACTCGTGCAAACATCACGTAGACAATACTAGAGTCCCTCTAATCAGAGTGGTTCTACATGATGCATATGCTGTATGTAGGGTGAGAGGGAATATATTTCTTTGTCTCGCGTATCATTTTGTCGAAACTGCCTATGGCCAGACTCCGATTAGGACTCTAGACAATATAAAACAATTCATATAGGCCAGTATCGTGAATCCTCTTTTATCGACAAAAGCACCTCCGAAAGTGACTAATAAGCCTTCTGATTGGCTGCAAGCCGCTTTGAGGGGCACGTTTAAGGATGAAGGAGGATTCAGAATACTGGGCCATAGACATACGTTTGATATTTACAGCACAACTCTGCTCCCAAGTAATTTTTACAAGTTTCATACATTTGTTCTCTACACTTTCGATTATGCTTTGGTCTTGCGATGTAGTCTCAATTTGGCGTTTAACGTTCCACGAAATTCTTGGCAGGAGCTTTTCATACACTACCTGACGGAGGAGGCGCACCTGCAGAGCAACAAGGGATCTGCTCTGGATTACAAACACCTGGCGGAGGTGGTGCAGACCAACGACACGCTGGAGTTCCTGCGGGAGATCATGCCCAGGAAGATCACGGTCCGACAGTTCAAGGAGATGATGGCTGCCAAAGAGGCGTCCAACAGCAGCAGCTCGTCCGAGAGCAGCTCGGACTCGGACAGCGACAGCGACTCCGACACGGACTCTTGTTCGGACAGCGACGAGACCAAGGGCGAAAACGGCAACTCGTCGGGCAGCGAGCGGGAGAGCGAGACCAAGGAGAACGGCGCTTGTCATTCGGACAGTGACAAAAGTGAGAGCAGTGCGAAAAGTGACAGTGAGGAGAACAGTAAGAGATGAGGTCTCCATCTCCGACAGGCAGACTCGGGTTGTTTGGTGAATCCTTTACCTCGTGTCCTTTTGCAAAATTTTGCGGATCTGTCTGGTGTCAAGATTGCACATTTGTATTAGCGGAGTGGCCTCTGCAGGTCTGCAAAACTAGTAAAGTTAACGCAGCCGTCAGTAGGGGCTCTGAGTTTAGAACCGATCGTGAAAATTTGTTCTCGAAAGAGAGGATATTATTTTTATATGCTTACAGGTGATGAAAGTACACTATCAAGATCTTGTTACACATATCTCTTCTCGCGGTATATATTTTTGTACATATCTATGTCTCACGATATGAATATTGTGATGAAACTCATGCATCATGTTTCTTTACGTCGATCAAATTAATGTTTTTTTGCATTAACTATATTTATTTATAATCACATTTTAAGATTGGTGTTTTCTCCGATAATAAATGATGATCACGATTCATTTTATTTTGTCTTAAAGAATCTTGTATTATATAATCGTACGAGAATTATGTACATTTTTAAGATCTTTACAATACAAAGTTGGCGAAAGTAGCTTGCACGTTTACTTTATCGTTAGCATTTTAAGAGTTTTTGTTTACTCATCTGCCCTATAATACATATGTTCTAGATAATGTAACGACTGAATTAGTCTCGGTGTAACTTTTGCGATTTGGATGTGGCATCGTAACCATCCTCATTTAATTTTAGAGCTAGAAAGTAGATCTCTGCTAACGCTATGATTAGCGCGCAAATTATACCTAAAAGCAATCTAAATCCGAAGTCTAGATTCCCGATTATGAGTTCCACCCCAATGAATCCAAAAGCGAAGCCAGCTATCACAGAAAACACGAACTGCGCGACGGCGATCAGTTGCTTATTTATCTGCTTCACTGCAAAAGAAAATTAACGACATTGGATGGCCGCGTTAAATTGTTTTTTTTGTATAGATGCGCTTAAAAAAGTAGATTAAGAAGTTACTTTGATACGCGATGCTGTCTTCCGGTAGGAATTTCCGCACAGCATCGATGCTCTTCGTCATTGCCTGGTATTCCCTGGCGTTTTGTTGCGCCGTTAGTTTCTGTATCCTCGCCTCCAATTCTGGGTTCCGCGGCGTCTCCTTCGGTGTCGGCAGTATCACGTCGGAATCGTCGAAAAGTTCGTGCAGGTAGACCTTCTTCGTCGCGGTTTTCCTGTGCTCTTTTAGGTACGCGTTCAGCCACTTGAGATCCTCGATTTTCAACGCGACACTCGCGACCTTCCCTTTCTTGGAGCCTCTCGACTTGCGCAAGGACGCGATGGCATTCGGTGCATCGCCCGTTTCTTTTACATCGTGCAAAATAAAATTTATCAATTTCTTAGACGGATTTATTGTTACGGTAGGATCCGTAAGCGACTCTAGTGGCATATCTAAATATTCAATATGTACTCTTAGTCCCTCTATCTTAAGGAAATGTTTAGGTCTTCATTAAATGCTGAAATGCTAAGAGAGGCAACGCGTAAGATCGGCTAGAAAATTATTATTTCCTATGGCGTAATGTGCAATTTCTTTTCCAGGTCAACGTAGAACTCCTGTATCTCGGTTTCCTTCTCCTGAAAGGTCTGGTCCACCTTCTGACACTTATCGCTCATATCATTTATGAATTTCTCCCACTCCCTTTTTCTGAGTAACCTGTTTTCGCTCAAAACGGTATCCTACAAAAATGAAAAGTATCCACATGAATCTCGACACACACACACACACACACACACACACACACTCTCTCTCTCTCTTACGTTAAGAAACAAAAGATAGACCAGAGAAAGTTGGAGCACGTACACTGTCAAAATTGTCCTCCCTCTGCAAAACGCGGTTGCACATACTCAGCGCGACATCCACGTTCGCTTTGAGGCTGGGCAGGTGGCAATCGCCGAGTTGCTCGGTGCGATCCAACTGGCTCTCCTTCAGCTCCGTCGTATACTCTAGTATCTTGAACAGACGTTCCACCTCCCTGTCAGACCTCTTTTCCTGAAACCGGCAAGGATGCAACGTAGGATTCGTATTGAAAACCCACTACGACCACTTTGATGCAACTTTTCAAACTGAATTCTCGACATACAATTCATAAAGAATACAGAGGAACTACCGACGTCTTCTTCGTGATAAGAATTTAAATCGAAATAAACATCAATTCCAAACGCTCATACACCGATAGCTAAAAAGACCTTAAAAGAAGCCCAGTGAACACCGAGCATCAGTTACAATTTCTGCGAGTGAGAAATTGTGACATCAATGCAATGCAATTGATGCTCTGCGTTTACTGGGAGAGAACTTTGTCACGCGGACAAGAGCAATCATGATTTATCGGTGTCTTTGTTTACGTTAAATCGACGACATAACCTCGTCACGTGCGGGCATTTAGAATCCGCATCTTGACGAAATGCTTATCATCAAATCCCATCAGTTTCGTCGGCATAACGGCGTGCCAAGGTAACGCCGAGCTCGCGCTCAGCCCGGGCGATCTCTCACCTGAAACTCTCGTAGGAAGAACGTCACCTCCCCCTGGACGAACGGTCGGTGGTCGAACAGCCTGCCCCAGATCTCGCCCGTGTCTGCGGAAAACGCGTGTGCGATTCAGTAACAGTGCGGCAATGCGTGAACGTGAACGCGTGAGTGTATACCGTTCGCCAGGTATACGTGCACGCGTTAGGGCGATACCGTGAGTGCCGCACCTTTGATGACGGACGCCATGTCGGAGTGTCAGCTGCCAGCGGAATCGGACCGCGCCGTCACGTGATTGGGCTGTACCACTGAAAACTGGCCGCCATGTTGAGGCGCTAGTAGAAACGGCGCCGGTGCGCCGTCACGTGGTTGGACTACTGGGGCTCGATCATGAGTCTTTTTCTCCAGCGTAAACTCGCGAAAAGTGAAGTTTCATTGACGAATTCAACATTGGTCCACGAAAATTTGCACTTTTCACGAGTTCACGCTTGAGGAAAGGATTTACGATTGAGTCTCTGAACCGACGGCGCGAAAAGAAAATGTCTGAAAAAAATAAGATCGGACAAACGCGTGCTTATTCCGCGCCACAGTTAAATAGTAATATATTAATAAAAAATTACGTATTACAAAAGTATCTTTTCCGGAGGGACAGCGAGAGTTTGCTAATCTTTTTTATCTAAAGCTGGTCGAATTTCATATCAAAATATAATTTCCTTGAAAACAACAATATTCCTTGTGCTTTTGTATCAATTCGAAAATAGGTATGTACAATATAGATTGTGATGTTAGTCTTGGCTATGCATTTTTCATTGGTTTTTTTTCTCCTATTCTCGCTACGCCGGAAACGTCGCGAAATCCGACTAATGTCCATTTCTACCAATGTAGAGCTTTAATCTCGGTTTCACTTGCTTGTATTTCTTTCTAATTTCCAGAACTGGAAAAAGAGAAAAGTTAACCCGAGGTTAATCTGCACCGATAGAGACGGACATAAATAACTTCGAATGAGTTTCAGCGAACAAAATTGGATTAAATTACTGCTGTAGTATTTCTACTATTTTGTTAATACTTTAATTATATCTAATGACTTATTTTTACAGAATTGTCAATTCTTTTGTTGTTTAACATGAGAAAAATTACATTAATTAACGTCGAGCGCTTTTTCCGAAATTAAATAAACTCTGATACCTGAGCTAAAGACGAAGAGACATTAGTGTAAAAAATTACGTATTACAAAAGTATCTTTTCCGGAGGGACAGCGAGAGTTTGCTAATCTTTTTTATCTAAAGCTGGTCGAATTTCATATCAAAATATAATTCCCTTGAAAACAACAATGTTCCTTGTGCTTTTGTATCAATTCGAAAATATGTGCAATATAATTCCGGTCTCTCGCAATTATCTATATTTTTAGAGAGAATAATATCACACACAAAGCTTTTTGAAAAGCTATGCGTTTTGCTGTTGCATAAGCATTTTTCATTGATATTGCAAATGTATAAATATGTTATATATTCATATATCATTATTCTCTGTCAAATTTACGACAAACTCGATTGAGTGCATTAATGTACATTAATGTGCAGTAAAAGCTGCAATGATAAAATACTGATTGACTGTATTTAAAAGATATGTATAATGCATCGAGTACTCCGAACGTACCGTAACATTTTCTATTTCTAAATGCTATTTCACTATTTATTTAAACCGCAATTATAACCATAGAGTCTGACAACGAGACAAGTGAATCTAACGTGCCCTTTTCTCGACGCCATTTTACTTTATATCGCGGTTATATGTGATCTCTAGAGCCTGGGACCAATTTGCAGTCGTTACTCGAGAAAAATTTCTCGAAGGGAAAATGACTCAAGTTCCGAAGTTAGAATCGACGATCTGGGGAACGTTTCGCGGGCAATGAGGCCCGAAAGGTGCAAACAAGTACGAGCAATTTCGAGCAGACGTGACGCGAGGGAAAAAGGGTCGGTCAATAAAATGCCAAAAACAGCGCGTTGCGTGCACCCGTTTACGGCGGTCCCCGCGTCAATGGGGACCCGGCGTGTATTTTTCGCCGAAAGACCGATAACGTTACGCTACGACGAGACGAATGCGTGGACGCGCGGTTCGACGTGGCGGTGTTCTCGGATTACATCGCGACGGTGATTATCGCTGTGGGAACGCCCGAGCTTGGGTATCGAGGCAAAATTCGAACCACTGCGAAGAGGACGCCCGCGACTAACAATGGTATCGCGTGATTACGCGTGCATTCCGCAGCTGCGTGCACTTACATGCAAGACGGGGAGAACAGGGGTGGAGGGGGATGATTACGCAAGACTACATATGCCGGCCTGTCGCCCGATCGCCCGTGATAATCGCGGGCGAGGTTTATTCGCGACGATCTCGACGCGAGGTGCAAATTGGCGCGCGATGGCGGGTGCAACGGGACGAGTTCTTCTCCTGATGGCAATCTTGCCTCTCGCGACGTAAGACAGCGACGTCGTGAATATTTAAGTATTTTTAAGAAATAAAATGAGCGTAGAAATAATCTTACCGGCACTTCTTTATTACATTATAAATTCACAACGGTTCGGCCAGTTCTCTTCAGGTAACAAACTTACTTAAGCACCCGCGAATGTAAGATTCGTCAACGTTAAAGATGTAAAAATTATATGTCAAACGTCAGAGATTTCTCTGTACAACATGTCTAGTCATTGGAGTTAGAACACAGAATAATATTTATTTTTTGTGCCACTTATTTTATTTCTTAATTTCTCGACTGGCGACAACAAGTTGCTGTTGAATCGTTCAGTATTTTTGCTCGCGAAAGGACAATGTTACGTATTACAATCTAACTACAATTGAATTGTCAATATTGAATGCTAGATATAGCATTTAAAATAATTGGAAATTGTTTATCGATTTTAATGTGTAAACTCACCAACGACAATGAATTCATCTAAATGAAACTGTGTTATGTCCGAAAAGAAACCGGCGCGCAGGACAAGGTAGAGAACGGTGTATGAATTCACATTTTAGACTACAATTATCGGACTACCAACTTCTTTCTCGGACCTAAAAGCCGGCTGTTTGATTTATAATATTTATATCATAATAGTCCTATTTAACTTTATTGAGTCCTATTAACTTTATTATTTGAATTACAAATGTTATCACAAAGATATTGAAAGTGTATAAAGCATGTGCGTCCACTAATGCACCGCAATTAATCCCGATAATGTATGGATAAAAGGGAACGATAATCTCTCAGGTTCGTTACGAACTTATTAATCTAACATAAAGCATACGTTCCTTTCTCTTGGAAATGATTAATTAATTCGCGAATTCAGTAAATTGCCTTTGAGACGCACAATTTTATTCTCGCAATGTAATCTCACGATTTATTATATTGCGATACCTATTGTACTAAAAAAAAAAAAAAAAATTATATCCTGTCAGGCAAGAGGAAGTCGCGGAGGGTGCGTGCAGTTGCGCGGTGTTCCCGGTCCCGGGGACGAAGTCGATAATAGAGCACACGTTGCAGTACAATGTGAGCTGCGATCAAGAAGGCGCTGAAAATTGTCGACAATTATGCATCGCCTTGGTGAGTACACCATTATATTTCCCTGCTATTCCGCTGCTTGTTACGTCATTTCCTTATTGACTGCGAAAAATGTGCTATCTATTTTTCATTCGAGAATATACGCGTATGCAAACAATTTTAGACGGCAGTCAGTAACGTGCTCTCGCGAGCAAATTAGTGGCTAGTCGAGGAAAATAAAGAACTACTGAGAATAATTGAAAAAGTTTACCGAAATGTTGATGCGTTCCCGTGCTTAGGCCGAGAGTGTCCGAGACAAGGCACCGATGCTGATTTGCGAGAAGCTGAATGTCCACGTCGACAATTTGAAGGTGAGCGGGTAGAGAATTAAGCTATTTTTTCGCAATAAATTTAGAATAAAATATTTAGACACTAACACCCTATCACGGCTCCTAGTCCTTTAATCCTTGAAATTTGTGTTTATCACATTTAAGCCATACGAATTTTATTAATTCGATAATTTATTAATAAATTATTAACTTCTGCTTACAGCCAAGAAGTGGACTTGGTTTACAATATGTTCTTAACTCATTCATTCTTGCATACTTATTTCCATCCTCCCTATTTTCATCCTTGCATGTTGCGACTAGTACTTCTAATTGCTTTATTTACTTACTTGGTTTACTTGTATTTGAAACCTAAATTTAACACAATTCTAAGCTTAGCTTTATTCTATGCTAAACTTTTAGCCTATTTGTACTTACACCTTGTATGGATCTTATATTCCTTATTTATACTTTATTAGTCTTATATTGATCTTATATTATTTACATTGCTTCCTCTTTCTCCTCTCCTTTCTCTCTCTCTCTCTCTCTCTCTCTCTTTAAACTTCGTAACTTGCTTTCTCTTTCCATTTTTACACACGCACATAAAAAGACTAGTCTCATTTTAAAACTCTAAAGTATGAAAAACATTTCCCCAAACTGTCTCCTCGCGCGTAATTTTTATCTTCGCGGGAAAGCGAACAGCGACACGTAAATGCGATTGGAGTCGCGTGTGCGAACGGGAGTAATAAAAACGTATTATTTCGCCCGAATGAAACACGATTGCATCGTTTCGGTCATTTTGCTCTTTTGACATTTTTTTTAGATGGTAATTTTCGCAGCTAATAGAACGACGCGTTTTGTTATTTCATCTTTTTGCCTTTCACAGGTGGCCGTGTATGTGAAATCGTGTAATATGGCTCTTTGGACACTCGCTGGTTTGCAGAGCACCGAACCCATTTGCTGTCACGAAGGGAAGGCAGTTATTTGTGACGGGGCGATGTCGGTAATAGAGAATTAACGAGCTCGCATCCAATTCATTATTTCCCGCTTATTTCCTCCACCAACGGATATCTTACCATTGATTACGTAATAACGTGCAGTGTAATTAATCATATCACCTGCTTGTTACGTTAACACGTTACACGCGTATAATTTCTAGCTTGATATTCGCAATTAGTAATTTTCTGCGGATTTATAATATTATCGTAAGAGTATTATATGCGAATAAAGTACGCGCAAACAACAATAGCAGGTCGGAATTTATGTAGAATTCAAAGAATGCCGTTTCGGGAGCATTACCCGATATGCATTTATATCCTTTGTTCTCCTCACAAAGCCTCGGATGCCGAGGCTGAGACTGCCAAGAAGTCTATCTGCCATTGAAGTCTCTATACAAATGCTAAAGCTCGAGCTTAAAATACAATAATATCGGTACTGCAGCTCCAAAATGCCTGGCACTCTTTGTAGAATGAAAAATCCGCCCGTCGCAAAATTTATTTGCGTCCCGCGTCAAGTTTATCCTTGATCAAAAAGATCGCGAGTTAATTTTTGAATTACCAATTATAATAAATTATCGATGACACCACAGACAGAAATTCTTTCTATTTTCAGCAAAACAAATAACCCAACTATTGACAATTTATTCAAAATAGAATCAGGTGTATGTACCATTAATTCGTGATATAAATCTTACGAATCCTGCTCGGCAAGTTTAGGGTGTTTCCTTAATAAAAAAATTGCCGAGAGAAATGATTCTGTAGTTTGCGATATAAATTTAAAAATTATTAAAAGTTTCACACAAGTTTACACTACCGCTGCTTAAATTGAAAAGTTGCTCAGAACTTTAAATTTCAAAATTATTAAAAAAAAACTCACGCAGATCTGGCGATAAAGCGGCGTTTTCTTCCATGGTCTTTTCATTTAATCCTGTTTCAGTTGTTCACCTTTCAAATTGCCAATTCAATTCTGTTCTACGCTCTCTTTTATCTACCACTCTTTTATCTATCACGAAAACAAGCCGAACAAAACAATCTCTAATAGATATCGTAATAGAAGCGCTTAATAGACGTTTTAATTCTTTTTCACAAGATGTGCGTCGGACTCTGGCCAAAGTTTTAATTAGATTAACTGTTTAAAAACCTTAATGTACAATCAAAATAATCGCTTTTTTATCGCAGCTATTAAACAATACGAAACATGGGCGCGATAGAAATACCCAGAGATATAATAAGATCTCTCCGCACTCTCCACAATATTACATGCTCCGATTATCGACAGAGATTTAATCCCACTTGCGCTGCCTGCGTATCTAAAAGTCAAAGCTCACTTCGAGGCGAGCACGCTTGAAAGCATTACATGGTATTTGTTCCCGACCGAATCTTCTTTCGCCGAGTACAAATGCCGCAGCCGATTGTACGGGGTGTATCGTCAAATGTGGAAATCGTGCGTGCCTCGTCCTCGACGAAGTGTGCAGCCCGGATTCTCCCTTCGACGGAGATTCTAGCGGGATCTAATGGAAATACGCTTTAGCGTTAGGAATAACATTAAGGATCGAAAGCTCGCGCTGGATCAGGTCTCGGGTGACGATGGACAGAGATATAATAAGATCTCGTTTTCCATCCAGTCAATTTCGTCTTGCTCTAACGGGAATTTAATCTCGGATTTAAGCGCGGAAATATCGAGCTCGCGTAAGCCACGATAGTCTACTCCAGATGAAAGTTCCGCCTCGGCGGAATCGATTCCGAAATTACGTTCGAGCGTGTTCGAATTTTCGCGTTCCACCCCGTATACGTCAAGCCGATTTCCGGCAGCGGCCGGGAGTATGAACGTGGCGCGAGCCCGTTGCGCACCGACTCGAGATACCCTCTATTTCGACGATGGCGTTCTCGGTGTCTTGTCCCAGAAGCCGCCACCATTGAACGGGCGGTTTGTTATCTCTTTCCCGTCTCCCACCCCGACTTCCTGAGGACGAGTCTTCCTCCAAACTCCAGCGGGCTCTCCATATCGAGCTTTACCACGGGGGTGCCATTGTGCAACGGGGGTTTTGTCGTCCTTGCCTCGCTCGATTTTAATGACCGCGCCGTTTTCGAAGGCAAGGCCCTAATCGCGCCCTGGTCGATACGCCCTGCCGCGCCTCAATTAACTGACCAATCATGAAATATGGAGAAAAGTCCCCTAGAACGAGACAGACTCCTAATATGAGACAGCGGAGTTTCTGCTAAATTAATACGCATCGTCCGTTGGTTCCATCATGAATTTTTATTGCCCTTGAAATCTGTGGAAAACTGATTGTTAGATCGTGTAATCGTTGCGAAAAAAGATTTGTGATTCAACTTGGACGTTGAAAACCTCGTAACTTATATTAGAGTTCTATCTCATAATAGAGGACTTTCCTCTATCGTTGGGAAAATTTTTCCGCAAAACATGAAGACACTTTCTCGCGATGCGATTGCACCTCGAGTGAGGAATTGAAACTGCCACACGTTCTTAAATGTAACAATAAAAGAAGGATCGTGGTACGCGAGTCATCAGCGGACGATCAATAATTTTAATAAGTGATTACTATGACGGAGATTTTTTAACTTGGACTTTCAGTTGTAATTAAAATCTTTTCAGAGCAAACTAAATTAGACTCCGCTCGCCATTTTCAATTTCTACGTGGAGATAGATCCCGTTTATGGGAATTGCTTTCCGTCTCGAATCGCGAGCCCTACAATTTTGCGATACCCCGCGCGTAATTTAGCGGTAATTCAGAATTCATTCGGCAATATCTTCCTTTGCCGTTCCCGTCGCCCACATACATATATCGGCCGCGCCGCGTCCGTGGTAGCGGGCACAATTAAACGAAACGGAAATTGAGGTAACTAATTGCGGGTTTCCGGCTTTAGTCTCCTCGCCACAAGATATTACGCGAATGCACCCACGCACAAACACCCACGCGTTGATATCCACCTCCGGCTCGATTAAATCCTTGTTACCTTTCCACGTCCCGTCACGTGCCACGCATCGAACGTTGTAAAGGCCCGGTCGCCTCCACCGTTACCATCGCCATGGCGATGGCACGTGAGTCAATCATCGGCGGATATTCCACATATAGCATGTAGGCCTGACAGCTATCCATGAGTCGAATATGGAACAATCGACGATGCCTCGGTGGAACGTTAATCTTTGACGGGCGGCCAAATCGTCCCGCTCTAAAAGCGAGTCTTCCGTAAAGTTTACATCAAATATCGGTCCTCGCAGTATGAAATAGATGTATGTAGCCCTTTTACCAACATATCCGGGTTTTCTTGCAAATTTCACATTTTTCCACCGATTATCTTAACAACGCCATTTGTTCGATGACGTGTCGAGCCATTAACGCCAAGTCACCAGCAGAACTGGGAATAATGGATGCTTTTCAGCTGAAAAAGTGATCGAAACGAAGCGAAGGTGGGCCGAGATAAAGCTGGGAGGGGGAGCTAAGACGACGAGAGGGATTAAGTTCTTGCTTATAAAAAGATCATCCCGAAGAAGAATCTATAATTAGCTTAATAAATTATTAGCGGCGGATAACGTGGGCTGAGAGCCAATCACCCATCGAAGTCAATCACCGAAAAGGAATGGCTAGCGAATAGGCTGTTTGATCTGCTAATGTTACGCGATTGCCGAATACCAGAATACCACGCCCACAGAAAAAATTTCCGGATCCAATGCTATTACACTTCAATGTATCATAAAATAGGATCGATATAGCGCCAATCATGTTTATTATAGAGAAAGGAATATTTTAATCTTAAATAAAAAACTCTAAAATCTAGAATAAAATGATAGTACGTATCGTCTTTTGTTAAATATCGTGGTGTCAACTTCGTGCGTTGTAAGATGGAGAGAAAATTTATTCTAAACGCAAGAATATATAAACTTACGTTTATATAAGTTACTCTGGTCTCAATATAGTAAGTCAAGCTTTTTTAATTCGACAGAGAAGAATATATAATATATAATTTATTAACTTCAGCTTACAGCCAAGAAGTGGAGTTGGTTTACAATATGTTCTTAACTCATTCATTCTTGCATACTTATTTCCACCCTCCCTATTTTCATCCTTGCACGTTGCGACTAGTATTTCTAATTGCTTTATTTACTTACTTAGTTTACTTGTATTTGAAATCTAAATTTAATAATTCTAAGCTTAGCTTTATTCTATGTTAAATTTTTAGCCCATTTGTACTTACACTTGTATAGATCTTATATATTCCTTATTTATACTTTATTAGTTTTATATTGATCTTATATTATTTACATTTCTTCCTCGATAGAAGAGAAAAAGAATTATTGATTTTACTTTGACATTGTCTTATTTTTATACTAGATATTGTGAGAAATATAAATGCGTCAAGAAACAGAAATTTTTTCTGAGGATGCAAATATCCCATTAATTTCATGCGGATGCGAGTCGAGATAATTCGCGATAATGAAAAAATTCGCAAACGACAGTTCCTTCAATCAACTTTGTAGAATATTAAATACACCTTCGGGTATCAATTCGATCGAGTTGCTCTCACAAAGTATAAACGGATCCTCAATCGTTTAATCGTCTAAATTAAATTGTCTAAACTGCAAATTTCGGTGGAAAAGTCGAGGTAATTCAGTAAAATTATCGATCCACCGACGATTACAATTGTGCAATTTCTTTCTCATTTTTTTTATTCCTAAAAGGGATATGGGAATTTAAATTTAAAAGCTTCATATCAGATTAGCGCGGAAGACTATCAAACTTGGAATTAAAAATAATTATTACCGTTGAATTCACAAGGAATATTCATTGCACGCGAACTCGGTACTTATTGCTTTTTACGAGGGGAATAAAATATACAAAATCAATATTTGTAGTGTCGTGTTTTCGGAAACGTTCCTTCTGGCCAGGCAGATACCGATTTACGTGTGTGGGCGTTTTATTTTTTCTGCAAGGAAATAAAACCAAAACCAAAAAAAGACCTTACAGTATGTCGCAACGCGACAAAAAAAAAGAGGAACAATGGTAGTCGCAAGTTATACGTAACGAATGGCTTGTTGCGCCTGTTGTAACTTTATAATTGGACTTAAAATATCAGAATGTCTTTTCGATCTCGCTTCTCTTTTTACGTCGCTCGAACTTTTCGTTTGAATTTATTCCTCCATTTTGCCGCGTATATCGAATGTAAATAACCGATTATTGGCTTTAATCCGAG